AGGCGGGTACACCTTGGGTTAACATGCCATCACAAACAGCTGGCTATCATGCAAAGGCTTCATCATCGAAACAGCTTCCTTGCGGCTTTCACTGCCAAGCGTCATAAGCATCCAATATCCCGCAGATAACAACACAAAACACACTTTAAACAGGAAAAGCTAGCAGGAGACGGAAGAAGACGGGGTTATAGTGCCAGTTGCAAGCCATGTCCTGTAAAGTCCGCAGCCAAGCATCAGGTGAGTCACGTGGACTACAGCCCGACAGACGAAACTGACCCAAAGCACCCAGTTTGGTCATCAGGGACTTCATTTTTTGCTGTACCGTCAACTTCCGTCCACACGGAGCCTTGCGCACCCTACATATGGCAGACTAAATGAGGCTCTACTACGTAAGCAGTGACCAGGCATACTTAGCACGTGCACGAGCAAACGGAACGTATTCAGTTACATGGGTTGTGCTAGGGTGCTAGCATGATTATCACCACTAGTGCTCGCCTAAGCACATCATCTTTGCGGACACGCTGGTGCCATCTGACAAAAGCGCTGCTTCGTAGCCAACCATAACCAACGGATGAAGACGACTCAGATCTTCAGGCAGAAAGGGCCAAGTCTCACTCTCATAGGTCAGGACGGCCTTCCCTCTGGTCTGGTATACATGTCTTCTCAGACAGGGGGAAACCCTTCTGTCGCCAAAGTTGCCGCAGGTTTAAGCAGGCAACTCCGGCGTTTGCAATAAGTGTGCGGACGTCCATTTCTATGTGCCCATGGTTGCGGATGCAGATGTCAAGATTAGTGATTTGATCAATCACTTCGAGTTCCTCCTTAGCAAGAATCAAAGGGTCATACACTTGGTGATTAGCGCAGTCGGTGAAGCTGCTCTTCTTGTGTATTGTCGCTATATTTCATTCGCTCCAGTCAGCCGGGACACTTCCTTTCATATACGTTCGATTATGGAAGTGGGTGCCTTGTGAAACACCTCACCTGCATCCTTAAAGAGTGTAGGTGGGAGGGAATCCGAACCATGGACAAGAAAACGATTAACTGTTGCGATCGCCTTTAGCACCTGGGCCTCCGACGGAAAGCTTAAGTGACGGTCTAGGACTCCTTCTGCATCCCGTGCGTAAGAAGAAGTCCGGCTCCTGGGGGCCAGCTGAATTGCTCGTGAAGGTGTTCCGCTCAACGAGTCATACGGCGTTTAATATTGTGTATCAGAGCACCCGCGCAGTCTCTGATTGTCTCACTGTCGACTGGTTTGCTGGGACCGGTGATGCGCATCAGGTGGGAGAGCTTGTCTTAACTGCCTACTGCTTTAGCGCCTTTCATTGCTTGAACCCTAAGGATTCATCAGGCTACCTCGTCAGGAAATACGCACAACTGTACTTCGCTTCTAATAACCCTTTTGGTCACATTGTGCTCAGAGACAGCCGGGAGATAGAGAGCCCTCCAGTAATCCCTCAAGTGCGGTACTTCCAGCTGGACGAGTGGTGCTTACTGCAGCCACATTGTTCATCGGAGATTCGAAGAACCGTTCATACAGGTTGTCGCTTGTTTCGGCTTCTTTGTCTAACTGGTTCAAAAGCGAAGACTGTTTAAATCGCGTTGGGGTTTTTCTGAGCGTACTTAGTCCAGTTCTGTCGGAGTATGGAATCGTCTAGCTTCGAGGAACCCACAACTGAACGCATGTGCTGTACAAGTTGAGAACAGCTGCCATCTCTAAACTATAAGCCTGAAAGTAGCAAGTTTTGCCGTGCTTCATAATAAACGATAGTGCACTTTAGTAAGGCTGATTTAACCTTGTCATACGGTGAGGTAGACAACATGGGATCAAGGGCCTCGATAACCTCCGAGGCCCTCCATGAAGGAAGATGATCGGTGAGGTATGGAAAATGATGGTTGCCAGGTGATCTAACGTATTCGGAAGAGGGCCTCAACCTAATTAAACGAAACACGAGGGTTTAGTGTACGCCAAGTTGTGTAAAGAAAAATCGATGGAGTTTTCAACCGGTATCACATGGTATTGTCCACTGAAAAATTGGCACGTAAAAATAGAGGCTTTGCTGACAGAGACCGATTTTGAAGCCGTCACGCAGCGTATTTATATTCCACGTAGCATCATGCACTGGTCGGAATGAAGTTACCAAGCAATGGCCTAACTGAGATACACCGTTTATGAAATGGTTAGTTGGAGATACTTTAGTTTAGGAACCACCACCCAAAGTGCAGAATGGTTACAAAGCTACGGAATGGCTAACAAAGACCATGTATATACGGTTCCAACATGTTGCGTGAGACAAGGAGCCTTGTCCACAGATCTGAATACACGTAATAGGCGATAGCTTGACCGAGCTTAACCATCTATAAAATGGTAGCAGCAGGCAGTGAAGCAGCAGGTCAAAGGACTAACGCACCACTGTAGTTACTGAACATTTACCACGCCCTTGGTTAGCAATTGCTGACGTTAGCGTACGATTTAACTTCCACATATATTTTCACGGTTTTCCTGTTACCTTGCTCTCCATAGACTGGAACGCAACCGACTGCCTGTTCGCCGCTTGTCCACCTTCACCGTTACCCTCCTCTTTGCCTGTGACAGTGGTCCTCACTGGTACCTGCTGCACATCTATCCTCAGCCACCATGAACTTTCGGTAGGTCGATATCGTTTCTCTGTTGCTTTTCATTTCATTTCTAACGCATGTGCTCCGTACCTTCGCATCTCCGTAACCTGCCACCTTTGTCCTCCGTTGCCATGCGAGCAACGTCAGCCACGTGTCCTCCGCCATTCCTATTTCTCGCAAGCCCCACAAGTCAGTTTGTTTGGATTTCTTGTTACCTTTCGTACCATAAACTGGAACGCAACCCACTGTCTGTGCGCTGCTTGTTCACCGCCACCGTTATCCTCCTGTTTTCTTGTGACAGAGTTCCCCACTGGTACCTGACGCATATCTGTCCTCAGCCGCCATGAACTTTCGGTAGGTAGTTATTGCTTCTCTGTTTCTTTTCACTTCATGGATTCAGTTTGCTGCCCATACATTTGCACCTCAGTTCAAGGCCTACCGCGCCCGTTGGTCGCGTACACCAATCCTAAGCGTATCCATATGTCGAATACATTTCCAGTGCCTGATTTGTCCTTGCATTCAGTGACCGTAGTACCCTCTGCACCATGCGCCGACCGTACAGAGCATGAAACTACCGTCCGGTAAGCGTGCATAAATAAATATGTGTATAATAATATTTTCTAAGGCTGGACACTATCACCATGTTCAGCTGCTCCATCCAATTCCATGCCTTCGAACGATGGAACGCAGCGTTAGCCCTCCTCAAGGCTTACGTCAACGGAACGCGAAAACGGCCCTCTAAAGGGCCACAACTTTTAGGGCCCAAGCATTGCGGATAGAGTGCGTCCATAAACATGCCCCTCACAATGGAGCGGATATTAGAATTGTTGTGAAGGTCGCTCACCTCGTCCTCTGTTTCCATGTGGCATACGTGTTCACCGTTCTAGCTACCTTTACTATAGCGCAACTAGCACTTCACCTCATACCTATTTTGGCCTCCCACATTAAGGTTGGCAGGTTATGAAGCTCCACCTACAACAGCCACCAGTTCTCCCTGTACTTGTCGCACACTATACGGGATACCATGTCACATCTACTCATTTAGCATATTCATTCACGCCTATACCTAAGGAAACCCCTATATCCCATGACTCCGTGATCAGCTGTGCTTACGTGACGCTTTGCATTCGTCCGCAGCATACGCTTGCACGCTTTGATTGTGATTGAGAAAAGAGGCAGTGGATAGATTACGTACCGTTTTCCTCACCATCCTCTTACACATGCAACCGCCTTCCATTGCCTTTGTATGCCAGTTGACAGTCAGCCAGTCATTTACATTTGCAAAAAGCCTATGCATTACTTCAGTCACGTATGTATAGCACAAGGATTTAGGTAAAAGTTTCCATATCAGGTATTAAAAACAGGGGCGACAGTTACACACCTGCATAAGAATACCTTTCCCGTACACCCCTATCTATCCACCGCCTATCCTTAGCCTCATTTCATTCTTCCCACATGAAGTTCAACTATCACGTACGTAGGCATTTCTTTTCAGCTATTTACGGCTTTCATTCAGTCCGATTTGGTTGGAGGCTGCCCCTAGGCATTTTGCCGCCACTGTTCAACCACACAGCCTATCACAATAAGCCACATGCGTGGTTTATAAGGCACTCAGGCGTATTTTCAAACGCGAACCGCCCATGCGCCGTGGAATCATAGGATATATGACACGGTGAAAGGTGCATGGGATTACCGTTTCCGTAAAAATGTGGGAAACACTATACAAATAGGAATATCATCGCAAGGTTTTCGAGCTAACATAACCATAAGGCCTTTCGCTGAACCATAGTCTTTGCAAGGCTTTGTATATGTTAGCGTCCTACAACCTTATCAACGACAACGGGACCTACAAATAGAGCATATCAGCCAAACTCTACAGGCCCTTGGAGCCAGCTTCGACGAAGTATCGTTGCCTAGACATGTACCAAAGTTACCAACATGCATATGCAGAGCATAGCAAACAGGCTACCGATAATAATGTAAGTATAAAGTAACATGATATGTCCAGGCTTTCCGCTCTGCCGGTTCACCTCCACCTTTAAATCACATATGGAGTAAGTTATGTAGCAAGCAAAACGAACATAGTTGAAACAGCTATTAAGTTATCCAAATTATTTATTCCAACGGAGGAAAGTTCAACAAAATCTCCACAATCCCCTTAGGTTACGTGGACGGTATCATTCCGAACCTTTAAACCACCGCCAAAAATGTTACATATGCGTGTATTTAGCCCCTAAAAGCTATCTAGGTTAGGTATCGGTGACATTTCACCGACTACGGTGAAGAAACTACATGAGTGCCACATTCCCCTCAGCCTAGAGCCTAGTAACATCTTTATGTGTCGTCACCAAAATCACACCCCCCACACCACCCACAACCATCCCCTAACACCCATAACCACTCCCACACACCACACACCCACCCACCAACATACTCCCTAACCCATACCCCCAAACACCCACCAACCCAACCCACCCCCCCCACCCCCCCCCCCCCCCCCCCCCCCCCACCCCAACCCACCCCAACCCCCCACCCCCCCAACCACCCACAAAACCCCCCCCCCCCCCCCCCCCACAACCAAACCCCCCCCCCAACCCCCACCCCCCCACCCCCCCCACACCCCAACCCCCACCACCACCACCACCCCCACCCCCACCCCCCCCCCCCCCCCCCCCCCCCCCCCCCCCCCCCCCCCCCCCCCCCCCCCCCCCCCCCCCCCCCCCCCCACCCCCCCCCCCCCCCCCCCCCCCCCCCCCCCCCCCCCCCCCCCCCCCCCACCCCCCCCCCCACCACCCCCCCCCCCCCCCCCCCCCCCCCCCCACTCCCCCACCCCCCCCCACACCCACCACCCCCCCCCCCAAACCCCCCCCCCCCCCCCCCCCCCCACCCCACACCACCCCCCCCCCCCCCCCCCACCACAACCCCCCCCCCCCCCCCCCCCCCCCTATATTTTATATATACCACCACACCTTTCCCTCTTATTTTGTAGCATTTTTAAGTAACTTGCGGACATTTTTCCTTATCGCGGATTCATTGCTAACCAACTTACTTCATATGGTAATTTAAGGAAGAGTTATGCCACCGTATCTGTATGTATAATGGGAGTAATTTTATTTCATCTTGTCGTTAAAGTGACTGGCTGTTGCTTCATATCCCCGGTGTGGCTGCGCTTGGTGTGCATGTTGACAAGGTGCCCACCTGTCTATTACCTATTACCCCCACCATACTGGCTCCAGGAGACAGTTGGTCGTTGCTGGAGGGGACGAGGTGCACCGTCCTCGTGGCCGCGCTAGGCTCGAAGCGTGGTTCCATGCAGTCAGTGTGGAGCGGACCACGGTCGAGCCACCGCCTTGCGTGCGACTGAATCCCAAATCAATCATGTTTGTGTTTGCCTGTGAAGCAGTGTGGGCCGGCTCCGTTGAGGAGCGCTGGCACCCATCCACATCCCCCCGGTCTTATTTCGTGTGGGATACACTGGATATGGGTTTGTAGTTGGAGCTGAGGATGGTGCAGCGCAAGCCACCCATGGTCCCTCTGTAGGCGCAGGCGGTTTGTGACTGACTACAAGGACAGGTAAATCCGAAACTGGATGCCGCCAAACAATTACTCTCACTATAATAAATCGGTAAATGTTAATAGATTGCTATATATGTATATATACATCTGTATATATATACATACAATTTGATTCATATTTGATATTTGCATGCCTTTTATATTTGCATACTTACATAAACACAATTACCTGTCCTTAAATTTAGGAATACACGTGTCTTATATGTGAACCCTCACAGCTACCGGCATTACCCATTAGCACTGCACATGAGGTTGCTGCATTAAGTATACCATACAATACTCATTCACCTTGCCCTCCTTCAATAACATTCCGCCATCCCCTCAAACACCCGTATATGTTTCCCTTAGTGGACAATAAAACGTTTCAACGACATCCTGTCTTTTAACAACAGAGTACCCTGAAATGCCATTATCTATTCCGCTCTTTCTACCTTACCATGACGACAACTTTGGATAACAAGTGCCGTCGTTTTCACCGTGAAGTCGATAACTACTACCTATACAATATTCAGAGAGCGGCTCTAGATATTCGTTACTCAAGTAATTAAGTTAAGTTTACCAGTTGCTTCATGAAGTATAACAGCGGCATACATGAAAAATCGCACAAACACTTATTTGCTCCATAACAAATCTGTGAACACTTCAGCTGTATTTACTATTTGCCTGCTTTCGATTACGCCGTGACCTTCAACTCCACCTGTATTCATCACGTTAATATATCCTGACCGTTTTCAGGAAGCAACTCTCTATCCCATTACCTTTTGGTTCCCATACCGTTTTACCACCAGCATTAGGCATGTACTACGCAGCCATTCCAACGATTTTGGATGTCACCGGGTGCAATGGACGCGGAACTCTTTCCCGCCAGTACAGATTTTAGCCCTTCCCTAGGATGACATGCGAAAAGGTCGGGTTACCGCGTACTACTCAGGCAGCACCGTGTTCAATGAGCCGTAAAGAGCAGGAGGTAAATGCTTTGTCAGCTCCATCCATTCTGTATCATACTGGGTTGCATGCATGTCGTTGCATTACGACGTTCCTCGAGCGTTCATCGCAATTACGGCGACAACAACAAGGTTCCAGCCTTCTCATCGAAGGTTTGGCTATAAGCCGCTGGAATTTCTTCCGGTAGGCGGTTCCAACCATTCACCACTCTAGTGGATATGGGGACGATCATGCGCATGCAATGCCTTCTTTACTTAAATAGTTTCAATGTAAAGGTGTGTGGAACAATTAGTGTTGGGAAGGAAGCATTGTTGCAACTAAATTCCACTTTTCCGTCGGAGGATGCGCATAGTGTAGATGTCATCACACCGGCGGCGGAGGAGCTCACAAGGAGAACTGATCTACCTGCTGGAGTCGAATGGGGTACGGGCGCGGTACCCCAAGCGACCATTCCTCTACTACTTGCCTATGCCTGGTCCCGTAAACTCGTCTCCCACTAAGCCGCCATTCGCCGCGTAACCACCAGTCACAGACGCATTCGGCTCGGTCTTTACCATTCGTTAAATTGCCTAGCAAAAATACCCACTCAAAAGTGTACTTGCTTAAGCTGGAAGAACAGCTATAAAGCCTACGGTGAAATGTCGAGAGTCTCACCAAACGACGACAACAACCTCGCAGTGGCCCTGAATCATGCATAATCACACAGTTACAACCTGCTGATCTCCCCAACACTCACCAACGCCCAACACATTCGTCGGGGGCTCTCTCACCAAGTGAGCTTGCTACCGTTCTACATCCGCGTACGCCCAAGCGAATAATGAGTAGCCCTACTCCTAATTCTGTCATATGTACAAATGTGAAAGAGTCTATAGACCCGCAACTTCCGAATCGACATTCTCATGACGCCAATATGCGGAGCTTGATCTGCATCGCGTTAAACCACCCTGGAACAAAACCCATTATTCACACAGGACTACTTCGCCACTCTTCATATCATAGCGTTTTTAAAGCTAGAACGCTGCGTGTTGACTTGCAGCCAGGCCCGGTTATGGAGGATGTCCTGTTGCCAGCACATCTATTCCGTACCAACGCGTCTGCGAGCATCTACCATATCCTCACCTTCCCCGACACCCATAAACCAAGCGGGCTGCGCGCAGGCAACAACGGACGCCACTTGCTCAACCATGCTCTGTCATAGTGCTTGGCGTCCTAGAACTGTACGCCCGTGAGCCAACCTTACAAGGAAAACAACCGGACCGTACTCAACGGCCGTACCTTCAGTTAACACTAAATATTGTTAACGTAATAACCAAGGCGGTTCAGCGCCTACCTCGTCCAGCAAGTTATACAGCACCCCATCTCCTGAAAGTGATGTTCCTCGTCGCTGGCATGGCATCCAATGCCCACACCATCTGGTATACTAAAATGACGACTGGCACCGCCAGATATTCTTCTGCGCTCTGATGGGCACCCGGTGCCGAGGCGCACAGCTTTCCACAGCGCCATAGTAGCAACAGCTCCACTCCGTACCGATACACTCTGAGCAAACGGTTCTCAGGCGGTCAAACACCTAACCAACGCTTTCACTCTCTCGCGTAACCTACTCACATTCACGGTACAACCTTCAGCCTTTCAACGAACCAGGCGCTAGTACCCATCGGTTCTTCGACGACCCACACCTTGGTTCCCCAACTACCAACCTTACCGGCAGCTGGGCTCTAACGAATGGCGGGAATTTTGTTCCGGGCGAAAGTGAAATGGAACCGTTGGCATCAAGTAAGCAATTGCGAGGCAGGCATTTATTACTAATTTTTTAATAATAAAAAGGAATGGACTACTTTGTTATAGTAAGCGGTGCAATAATGTAACTTTTATAGTAAAGTAGTTTACCGTAACCGTGATGACTTGTCCCGAAGTTGCAAATAGACTAATTGCAGCCAAGTGCTGATATCGTAAGGGTTTGCTTAACGGGGAAATACCTTAGTCCTCTAAAAACCGTAAGCCCCTTTCAGATATCCGATGGATAAAAATGAGCTGACATGTTATGGGAATGTATCGATCGGGTTCACTGCGCACAGCGTGCTATGATTGTTCGTTGGCGATTAATTGTCAGAAAACGGCATGTGCTGCAACGGAGAAACCTAGAAAACCGCAACCTGAAATGTATGAACCAATACAGAAATAAGGAATAAAATGGTTTGCATGTTGAATGTTAACCGGTGAAGGCGATCTAGAAGTCATTTATTTTACTACTTGCTAAAAGTGGATATACTTGTACAATCCCTCTGAGAAGTAAAGTAAACTAGTGGTTGATGCTCTCGCCACAAGGTTTAAGCAGTTGAATATACAAATGCATTTTAATACATGCTACTAATGAGCTTGTCAGTAGTGTGAAAGTTATCCGTGACTAAATTCCGTGCATCGACCATGCGGATGGCGCCTTTGGCGCTGAATCCGGTGCGGGTACGGTTTCGGGTTCCTAGGTGATGAAAGTATCATTGAGCAATAGGGAATACCGCTGCGACGACATCATTGTCTGTTCCGCTGGGGGCCTTGGCTAGCGTGTACACTAATGGTATCGACATGGCATTATCACTAAAATTGCCTATTCATTTTGTCATCATTGGACATCAAGTTCCACCTACAACTTCTTTTACTCCATCAGCACTGGAGCCACCTATTCCTGCGCCAGGCAGTTGCTATCTGCTAATTAACCAGGACCAAATTATCACGTTGCGCAACCCAACGCGCTTGCATCGTTGGTATCCATGCCTACCTACACTCTTCTTCACGAATTAGTCCCTTGCTCTTCTATTAAGGGTCGTCGAGGTATTTCTGAAACGCTTTTTACTCAGTGTGCGTCAACCTTGTCAGCTTACAATACGAAGCAATTTAGCATGTAGCATAGAGTAACACCTAAGCTTAGTAGCTCCTTTTATCTACATGGCTTTATCACCATGACACAAACTGACACCAACAAGTTAATCCCAGCAGCATTTTATATATCATTTCAGTAAATTTTGCATATTACACAAAAATGACCCCTTCTGTTTCTCCCTTGCGTCTCTGCTCTATTTGTTACGCTTTCACACATTTATGATCCCAGACTGGCGCCAAATAATGAACGAGTTCGTTCCTGACAACTGCAACAGTCATTACTTGAACTACCATATATATTGCAAACAGTGCAGTTTACGCAAAGCAACGTCCCTGTACTGAAACAGTGGCTTATAGAGCCTTGATCCTGCCAGCTTTGGTGTGTTTTGAAGTATTGAGAAGAAATTATTTATTTATTTAAATACCCATTCGTTTCGCCAATATCGGATTTCTAATTCAACGGTAGCCGCATCCCAATACGTTGTCAATCATAGCTGCTATCTTCTAATTAACTAAGAGCACTGAATAACCTTCCTGGACCAAGCGCCCCAGCAACCGTTTGCATCGACGATCAATTATCCTCTCCTTCATGAAGTTGTCTTGCTTGTAGGTGAGTGGTCGTGGAGGTTTAGCTCAAGATTTCCTTTTTATGCGTACTTAGCAACCATCTACTAGCAACCTGGGATAACTTAGGCAAAAAGAGCGGCGCAGCGCTTCAGCTTCGTGCCTTCCGGTTTCTATGTGTCTATGACCGCCAAAAGGCAATTCATTTCGATAGCGTCATTCCTTCAATTGGATAAAGGTCCCGTCTGTTATGCCAGCTATAGCTGGAGTGGCATACTGATTGTTACCCGGATATATTTATGCGGAATTATTACATTTAACATCCGCGGATATGTCCGCATATCAAAACCTTACCTAAAGCTGGCTTTGTTGACACAGTTGCCTATAATTTTTCCGCGCATCAGCTTCGTATGCGAGTTCACTGCTATGACTGAACGACATTTGTCTATAGATGACATCTAAGGCCAACATCATTCTTACTTTTTTAGCAATACCCCTGAACCATTGCTATACGCGTATACCTTTGTACCTATCTGCTCAAACCTTCACAGGCGTGCATCGCCCCGTCTAGGATAAGTCATTTATCTATTTAGTTATCTCCTTCATCCTGTACGATATATCGAATGGTCGCACTGAGACCCATAGAGACCACACCGCACTGAATAGTTGTAGCAAAAGCTGGAAGCGGAAACTTTCGCCGGAAGAATGCGGTGTCATGTGCCACAAATGCTAGACATCCCCAAACCTGTTGACCTTCAAAGTAGCCCACAAGGCGACTGCACATCATTAAGAGAATTCGGAGTACGCTGCTCAAAAGCACGTACCTCTAAAAACAACTAAGCTACAGCCCTGCAGGTGCTAGTTCATTAATCGGACTCATCTGTATGATGAGGTCCTTGGCAGGCATTAACGCAACAATTTACAAGCTTTGTGCATGCCGCCTTTTAGAATACTGCTCCATAGGGTTATGCAAAGCACATCAATTGGACAAAGTTGCAGTAGAACGAAACGGCTGTCACCCGCTCTACAATATACTGCCATAAAAGTGCAAACAGTTTCAGCAAAATCTTTAATGGGTACGCCGCAGCAGGCTAATTTTGATTATGGTGTTAAATCCCGAAATCTCCAACGGGGATAACCATGGAATTTAAGAAATTCCTGGACTATCAGTTTGCACGTGCAAACTATAGCAGGCGCACCAAAAGTAAAGGGGCCTTGTCCAAAAAAGACATCAGGTGCAGCTACACAGAGTGACCTCTACTTGTTGCTTCCAACCAGTGAGCAGCAAGCAAGCAAACGATCATTAATCCCCGATATCCCCTGTTTAGTAAACCAGACATTCTAATAAGTGTGAAAATGCAACAAGCGAGGTAACATTGTCCTATGCAAGTATGCGTGCACGTGGAAACCAATACCATGAAAACTAAGGTTCTCGGAACCCGTCACGGTACTTCGCAAACGTAACACGCCGGTAGTTCAGTCTTGTGAACAGCGGCCTGAGCCATTTTAGTTAGACGACATGCCGCAAAACACGGTAGGTACCGCGGACAATCTAAAGCAAGCTAGGGATAGTAGAGAGCCTATCTGACGCGGCAATACAGCATTACCTTTCCACGACCCTCGCAATAAGTATCGGGCTCTCGCTCCCACTTGCTGGCTACTTAGCAACACTTAAAAAGCTTGTGCAGCGCGGAGTATTAACGTTTCATTAATTGACTCATGTTATTGCTTCTCGATCACGGCACCCCCGGTATAGAGTCTCACGCCTGATGCATGTTTCTCATTAGCCTCCCAATAGTATCGTGCTCCCGCGCCCTGTAGACAACAACCTAACACCCCTTACCCACCTTGTATGACACAGTGCATTATGGCTTCCTTTGGCAATGTACACAGATCAGTTCAACTTCACGCGCATCCAGGTTTTTACGCACTGCAACATTTTTCAAACTTATGCTGCCGTTTCATATTCCTAAGCCAAACGATCCACTGTTTCCTGCCTCGAAACTTGAACGTGTTTTAAGCGAAGTGGGGATGAGCCACTGCAAGTTCTTTCTAGCACCAAACACGTCAACGCGGAACTAAATACTACAATTGCTTCTCACACATATCCTACAATTCCCGCAGATGGCCAAGTAGCAACCCATGGCTTTACGGCATCTTGCGTTAAGCTAGTGGACTTTACTTGTTCTTCCTCAATGACGCTTATAAATGCTAGGTCCCTAAACCATAAAAAGCACATCCAGAGTCCACTGTCCTTACTCGCGTAAAATGTTCACATTTGATGAAGTGAGAACACTCACTACAAATCAGCTGCGCTGGATTTGTTGACAGGCATAGTACCAGCAACTAGTTCTACCACCAAGCGTTTTGCCGTGTACGAAGGAACATTTCCGTTATGTAAGGATTTATCACCACACCAAAAGCTAAGGTCGGCCCAGGTACACGCAACCTACGTAACACTGCGGTATCCATTGCATCAGGCTTGTGCGAGGTATCGTATGCGGTTAGTGAACAGGTTGACTCTCGTGACATAACTTAGTATCAGAGAAGATATCGGGATATCAGAGACATGAAGCCAGATTAATGTGAGGCCATTGTCTTCACGTATGAAGTGGATTATACACGCCAGTCAAACGCGCATACCATGGAGAAGTCTCTATCTAAATCGCTCAAGTGCACTAAGCTGAACAACTT